GGTTTTAAGTATTTGTTTTTTTATTATTTTAATTTAGTTTAGATGATGGAACAGCCAAAATGGACCAATAGGTCCCATGCTGTCCCAAAATGTTAATTTTGAACTGATAAGACTTTAGTGAAGATGTCTAGTCAACAGCACCCACCATTAACTTGTGAGTTATTCTTAATACAATAGTAAGACTTGACCATTGTTCTTATAATTCCCCCTACAGTCTAAGGAGCAGCAAACATATTTGAAGCAATGAGATGTGAATCATGAACTCTCAGATTCACAGTCCAGAATGCTAATCATGCAGAGATCCTAAATAAAGTTAAATCATACAGTATATAGACAATAAAACTTTACAACTGACTTAAATTCTTAAAAAGGTAACATTTTTATTAAATTAATTTACAGAAAACTTTATACTATTGAACTTTGTTTTAATATCAAAGTTAGAAAAAAATGTAAGTAATTTATACAAGCTTTATTATATTTCATTAAACAATCTAAGTTAGCATTTAAACTGTAAAGAATATTATAAAACATTAAAATATTAAAAAAACTTGGAAATGAATAATGGATTATTCATTCAAGTTTTTATACTTTTGTGGGCATAGCACAGACAGCCCTTTGTATAGCTTTGTGGTTAACTACTGAGTGAGACAGCTAAAGCTGTTCTACATGTGTATTCTACTTATAAAAATTCCTACTAATGTTTGAATTCCTAAAGGTTCTTGAGAATTGTAAACTTGTAACATGCTTTGTTGCTTTTTTAAAACCAAAATCTCTAAAACAATTAATTAAAAGTATTTGGAAAATAACTAAGTTAATGAAACACTAAATGTTAAATTTCAATAGATAAATGAAAAATGAAAATTATTCTAAGCACAGCATTTAAACAAGTGTACTTACTTACTACACAAATGATAAGTATTAATTTTTTTTTACATTCAAAAACACTTAACTCAAGAAAAAAAAACAGATAATGTGGAGAATTAGTTTTAAACATACAATGGAATTCTGCATAAAAATGAATAATAGGTCAGTGGTTCCTAAACTTAGGGTCGTGGCAGACCCTGATGAGGGGTCATGACTTTTGAGGGGAAGAAAAATCATATGTAGCAAAATAACCTGAACAGATCAGTTGAAATACATCTTTGAACAGATGAAATTGCCTGGATTCAAGGAGAATGAAATGGGGTTAGCATTAAAAAATATTGTTACGTGGCAGCGGAAGTCACGTGACGCTGGGAGCATGTGCGCTGGAGTTTCTAGAAGGATCATGACTTATCAAGGAACCTTGCGAATATCAGAGTGTTTGCCAGGCACCCTCTTTTTTAGTATATAAGCCTGGTGAGAAAAACCAACACGATTGGAGAGATAGGCAGATAGATTGAAGAGACAGATAATTGAGTCAAGCAAACAGTAGGCACCGTAAGTAAAGTGTGTGAATCGCTGTGAGTTACAGTGCGTGTTAAAAAGGTTGTTAAGTTTAAAGTGACTGTGGAAATTCTGTGTATTATAAATTTTGTATCGAGAAAGAATAAACTAGTTTTAATCAAGAAAGGACTTGTATTGCTGAAGTTTCTCGGAAAGAATTTATACCAGAAATTAACAAACAAGCAGATACATAACAATATTTAACAATATTAAACTATATTACAGGGGAATACAATTTTTATGTACTAGCCACAGAATGGTAGGCATGAAAAATGAACTAATCTGAACTAAAATTCTACTAGCCCTGTTAGTTTTCATTATAATAACTAAATTACTACACCATATAAATATATACATATCTAAGTATATTCAATGCAGTGACTTCTTGCACAGTATTACAGAACTAAATATACAATTAACTACAGCATATGTGCTGCAAACATATCTACAGACAGGTTAACCATTTCACATACAGTCTACATATGACATATTTAAGTCAGTGTTTAGGAGTAAAGTTATTCTAAGTTGTTGATAGACCAATTACGATAACACTTAACATCATATGAAGCAATTTCATATGATCTATGAGCAGTGCAAGAAACTATTATACATGTGTATAAAGATCAAATAGAATAATACAAGTATAACAACAGAGAAACACTACCCATCTCTCTACAGAACTATAAGCTATTGCAAGTTTAACAACAGAGAAACACTACTCGTCTCTCTACAGAACTATAAGCTATTACAAGTATAACAACAGAGAAACACAACTCATCTCTCTACAGAACTATAAGCTATTACAAGTATAACAACAGAGAAACACTACTTTTCTCTCTACAGAACTATAAGCTATTACATCACACATCTGCTGAGAAGATATTTATACAAGTCACAAAAATCCCTGTAGCCCTCTGCCAGCAGGAAGGCAACATGTCTTCCATACACAGTAAACCCAAGAACACTAGCATTTCAACAAAGGCTCATTCTTTTACTCAGCACTGCTTTGTTCAAATGTGGTTTTCCTTGAAAATTAACCAAGTTTTTGTGCATATTATTTTAAACTTTCATTACCTAATATTTAACTACATCACTTAAATATTGGCTTTTAGAGTTAACATATACCTAAAGCTCAATTATATATATAATTGATATTTACATATGTTTTCACCTATGAAAAATTATTGTGTATATCATTTCACTTTATATTTCTTATTTTAATAAAATTTAAGTTTAAAAAAGTTATTAAGAACTGGGAAAAAAAAGGATACTTGTTTTTCCTGCAGCATCTAATCCTAGCATAAGGATTCTCATTTCTTTGTTACCAAATATCTTGGAGAGCAATTTGCCCATTTTAACTCATGGATGGCTGGTAGCTTTAAACCTAATAAAAAACATATATATATATATATATATACACAC